TGAAATGGTCGGAGTCTATGTACTTTACTGCTTTAAGAGATTCGATCATCCATCCGAGCAGGGGAGAATGGTCATCCTCAATGTTTGGTGGGATCAGGGCACCCCATGATGTGTTTGGGAATATATATGGACCCTCTTCGAAATTTCCATTCTTCAACATGTTGCCTGCAGCATCAAGGTCATTAAGCATAAGACTTCTATGAATACAATTCAGATGTGTGTACATTTAGTTCTATCGGAAAGATAAATACGTTACGTGGTTCTCTTCTTTAATCATGTCTAATCTAGCATTGAGGTATAAATCTGAGGTTGGTCATGTCGTATCGGACCTAAATTTACAGACTTGTGACTTTTGTAGGCTAGCCCACGTAGGCCTTTTCCTACTTTCTTAAGAAAAAACGAACGAGAATGGAAAAATTGCCGGGCTACAAGTCCCATTTCCGTGCCTTAATTATCAGTCCATTTATTGTTCACAAAAAAGAAAGATTATTTACCTCCTGATCTTTTGGGAGTGTTCAAAGCCTTGAGAGCAACTGAATCAATAAGTGGACCACAAGCCTTATCCTTCTCCATTCCAGGATTATGAATCACAATCTCAATTTCATCAGATTCTGCTAAAAAACCCCATGAATATGAATCCCAACCATCACTACTATACATTGTTTGCATAGGTAACATTCCCCAGTCCTTTGGCTCAGACTTTGGTGACACAGAAACATTCAATCTCTCTTCCTGTGCACAAGTTCTTGAAGCACTAAATGAGAGTGAGTAAAACATTCCATTTTTAACCTTAACCCGGGTCTTGATCGACGCCTCGTCGCCTAGACGAACGGCGTGAGCACCTTCCGGAACCACCAACAACATGTCTCCTTGTTTGTGACCTGATTTTATGTACTCCACAAACCCAGAAAGTTCCCACTTAGGTATAGCATGGGGATCCATCACTTTGGTGCCTTTCAATTGTGAAGCTTTTGGGCCTAGTTCAAAGTTTCCATTAGGGAGTAATCCTGAATATTTTTCAGATGCATTAGCAATATGAAAGTATTAACGTGTATATCATTATTGAGCTTAAAAATTGCTCAGCAATAGTCAAACAAGTAGATATTGGGATGTATTATAGAAGTCGATATAGGAAATTACTGTTAATAACAAAATAAATTAGTCTTACATTTCATTTAGAGAGAGTCTATATAGTTAAATACATTCAAAGCTTTTCAATTTTTAATATAAAAATAATAATATAATAATTTAGAGAAAAATTAGTTAAAATAAAAGATGAGAAAAAATAATTAATATTTTTTGGGGAGTATTAAAATTAAGTAATAAATATAAAAAGTTTGTTCGGATATTTCAAAATTTTTACTTTACGTTTATAAATACTCTCTAAATTATAGAATATGCTTTTTGAAAATGCACTAAAAGCATTTCAATTTTCTATGGAGGAAGGAAAGTTAGTGAAAATAAAGATAGAGAAAAATAATAAATATTTTTTTTTTGTAGCAATAAAATTAAGTTTTAAAAATAAAGAGCATGTTGGAATACTTAAAAAATGTTTACTCACTAAATTTATAGATACCATTTAAATTGCTAAATTTGTTCTTTAAAACTAGAGAGTATCTTATAGATGTTCTAATATAGTTTAATACTACCACTAGAAGACATCGTTTGAAAGATAAATCTATATTCGGTGTGATAGTAAAGTATTGAGACGACCTTCTTTAGTACAATAACACAACATTCCTCAGATCTAAGAAAAGAAGCAACCAAAGAATATCTTAAATTTCCATCGTGCGATATTCATACAGCTAGTTCCCAGTATTTTAAGCAACTACCATCTTAACATGCAATTCATAAGATCTGACAAAGTTTATACTAACTTGTAACATTTTGTGACTTTCCTTTTATTCGTGATGATATCGACTATGAAAAAGGTTTATATGTAGATCTAATTCAATCCATACAAAGAACAGAATAAAAGAAATTATGGGTTCTATTCAAACTAAGCATAGAATTGAATATCTTACCGTCAAATAATGAGAATGCAATATGGAAGCTGGTGCAAAGCAGCACCAACAGTACTATGTTTACACTCTTCTTCATAGTATTGGTGTCTGTGTCTGAGAGAGAGAGAGAGAG